AACTTTTATAAAGAGTATCTCTTTGGATTTGAGACTTTAGTCTTTGCAACTTTACAGATCTTCTTTATGCACCAAGAGCTTGTAACACTCCAAAGAGAAAGGAAAAATTTAAATCGCATCATATGACCCCTTTAAAGCTGAAGTGAAACTAGCAGACTGTGTGAAATGCGCTAAAGCTGTAAGTGTCTCTCTCATTCTGCACCAATACAAACGTGTGCGAGCTGCGTATGTTTAGCTTTAAGGCCAAAGTATACTTCGGTTTTTACTCGTACGCGAGGGTCCGTGCACACGGCGTGTGACGGAAATTACATCACCAAAATAGTAGCGTGCACTCATATAATGTATAACGAGTGGTTCCCTGCATTATTTTAGGAAAACGTTTTGTGATTACAGTTTTGAGCTGCTGCAATGGTGCCATTAAAATGAACAGTGAAAGTAACAAAAGTTTATACAGTACATTTTAACAGGTATAATTAGGAGTGGAAATAACCAAAGGTAATATCTGTTTGTTAAATGAAGCCAACTAACATGATTCATATTATTATTTTGTTTCTGTACCCAATATTTAAAAAAAAATACAAATGCTGTGAAAATACAGGTATCGGTATCGGTATCGCCGAGTACAAAATAAATGAAAGTATCAGTATCGGATTCATTCTGAAAAAAGTGGTATCGGTGCATCCCGAGTAAAAAATATTCATAATCCTTTTTATTATGATTTGTAGGGGTAGATGCTGGATTACACATCATTAAAATTAAATTAGTGTAGTTTGTGGATAAAATAATCATCAGATTATGGAGGGGAAAAAACTCCCATAACTACATCCATAAAAAGTAGTACAGTAGTAGTATAAATTTGCTTAAATTTAGAAAGTAAGAAGTAATGCAATACTTTTTAGAAAGAGTAATTAGTACAGTAATCTAAGTACACTGTTGAAGGTGTAATTAGTAACTAGTAATTAATTCCTTTTTTTGGGGATTTTGATGATAGGACAGTTTAGAGTTGACAGGAAGTGAAGTGGGAGAGAGAGGGGGTGGGAAAGATACCACCTCTTTGAGTTGTGATTTGAACTCGGGATGCCCGTAGCGGCAATGGCAATGTATGTCGGCGCACTGCCCACAAAGCTATCAACGCCAACAATTAATTCCTTTTTTATAGTAACTTACCCAACACTGGTCTCCAGAATATGATCAAATTTACACAAACTGTCACGCTCTATGCAACTTACGCAAACTGCTTTATTTTTGTGCAGACGGAGATCCGCACGAGTTTCGACGAGCTGTATCGCGTGATGTCATGGCGCGAGGAGTTTCGCTGGATGATGCTGCGGATCAAGCGCATGGAGGAGCCATGGGTCGGCGCCATCCGCTCCCTCGCCACCAAACAAAACCTCCACAACCGCAAGCGCAAAAAGGTGAGTCTCAAGAAATGTGGCAAACTCGGTATTCACTGAACATGTCAGCCTTTAATAACAATTGATGCAAACTCCTCACCTTTCTGTGAAAACTCACCTTTTTGAGATCAAAATAGGTCACCTACGAGATTCGTGTAGATCTGATGAGAATGGGGGGGAGGGGGTTGTTAAGAATTACAAAACCACAAGTTTGTTTACAACTTGTTTTTGCGGTGTTGAGCATTGTAGCCAGGTATCGCCGAGTACAAAATAAATGAAAGTATCAGTATCGGATTCATTCTGAAAAAAGTGGTATCGGTGCATCCCGAGTAAAAAATATTCATAATCCTTTTTATTATGATTTGTAGGGGTAGATGCTGGATTACACATCATTAAAATTAAATTAGTGTAGTTTGTGGATAAAATAATCATCAGATTATGGAGGGAAAAAAACTCCCATAACTACATCCATAAAAAGTAGTACAGTAGTAGTATAAATTTGCTTAAATTTAGAAAGTAAGAAGTAATGCAATACTTTTTAGAAAGAGTAATTAGTACAGTAATCTAAGTACACTGTTGAAGGTGTAATTAGTAACTAGTAATTAATTCCTTTTTTTGGGGATTTTGATGATAGGACAGTTTAGAGTTGACAGGAAGTGAAGTGGGAGAGAGAGGGGGTGGGAAAGATACCACCTCTTTGAGTTGTGATTTGAACTCGGGATGCCCGTAGCGGCAATGGCAATGTATGTCGGCGCACTGCCCACAAAGCTATCAACGCCAACAATTAATTCCTTTTTTATAGTAACTTACCCAACACTGGTCTCCAGAATATGATCAAATTTACACAAACTGTCACGCTCTATGCAACTTACGCAAACTGCTTTATTTTTGTGCAGACGGAGATCCGCACGAGTTTCGACGAGCTGTATCGCGTGATGTCATGGCGCGAGGAGTTTCGCTGGATGATGCTGCGGATCAAGCGCATGGAGGAGCCATGGGTCGGCGCCATCCGCTCCCTCGCCACCAAACAAAACCTCCACAACCGCAAGCGCAAAAAGGTGAGTCTCAAGAAATGTGGCAAACTCGGTATTCACTGAACATGTCAGCCTTTAATAACAATTGATGCAAACTCCTCACCTTTCTGTGAAAACTCACCTTTTTGAGATCAAAATAGGTCACCTACGAGATTCGTGTAGATCTGATGAGAATGGGAGGGAGGGGGTTGTTAAGAATTACAAAACCACAAGTTTGTTTACAACTTGTTTTTGCGGTGTTGAGCATTGTAGCCAATCACAGGCATCTCTGTTGAAAGCAATGGCCAATCAGAGGTGTTTTCTGTAGGTTAGTCAGAATCTGCTCTGAACTAATTTTTGTTTTCTCAAGTTTACAGAGTTCTACACGCTCGCAGGTATAGATACAGTATAGTATAAATATAAAATAAAAAGTAATAGTATACAATATAAATACAGTATAGTTACAGTCGTGGTCAAAATTATTGGCACCCTTGGTAAATATGATCAAAGACGGCTGTGAAAATAAATCTGCATTGATCATTTTGATATTTTATTTAACAAATTCACATAAATCTAACCTTTCATTGGAGAATAAGAATTTAAAATGGGGGGAAATATCATTATGACATAAATGTTTTTCTCTAATACACATTGGACACAATTAACTGCACCCTTTTATTCAATGCTTTTTGAAACCTCCATTTGGCATAATAACAGCTCTGAGTTTTCTCCTATAATGCCTGCTGAGGTTAGAGAGCACCTGACAAGAGATCAGAGACCTATCCTTCATCCAGAATCTCTCCAGACCCTTCAGATTCCCAGCTCCATGATGGTGCTTCTCCTCTTCAGTTCACCACACTCATTTTCTAAAGGGTTCAGGTCAGGGAACTGGAATGGCCATAGCAGAAGCTTGGTTTTGTGCCCAGTGACCCATTTTTGTGTTGATTTTAAGGTTTGTTTTTTGATTATTGTCCGGTTGGAAGATCCAAACATGGCCCATTATAAGATTTTGAACAGAGTCAGTCACTTTTAGATTTTTTATCTGTTGGTATTTGATAGAATCAAAGATGCCATGTTTCTAAACAAGATGTCCAGGACCTCCAGCAGAACTATAGGCCCACAACATAAAAAATACAGCAGTATATTTCATTGTTCACATGGGGTTTTTTTTACCTGTGTGCACCAAACCCATCTTGAGTGTTTGTTGCAAAAATTTTTTTTTGTTACATCTGACCATTGAAGCCAGTCCCATTTGAAGTTCCAGTCGTGTCTGACAACAGAATATGCTGGGGATTGTTTTTGGATGAGAGCATTTTTTTTTCTTTAAACCCTCCCAAACAACATGTGGTGTAGGTGCTGTTTGATTTTTTTTTAAAAGGTTTTCTGACCCCGAGACTCAACTATTTTCTGCAATTCTCCAGCTGCGGTCCTTGGAGAGTCTTTAACCACTCAAACTCTCCTTCTCACCGTGTATTAGGACGATATAGACACATGTCCTCTTCCAGGCAGATTCGTAGCATTTTCTGTTGATTGGAAATTCTTAATTATTGCCCTGATGGTGGAAATGGGAATTTTCACTGCTCTAGCTCTTTTCTTAAAGCCACTTTCTGATTTGTGAAGCTCAGTTATCTTTTGCTGCACATCAGAAATATATTCTTTGGTTTTTCTCATTGTGATGGATGATTAAGGGAATTTGGCCTTTGTTTTCCCTCCTATTTATATTCCTGTAAAACAGGAAGCCATGGCTGGATAATTTCATGTTCATAATAACCCTGGTATGCTCAAAATTGTAAATATGAATGGGAATATACTTCACAGATATTTTACTCATAAGAATTTCTACGGGTACCAATAATTGTGTCCAATGTGTATTAGAGAAAAACATTTATGTCCCCCCATTTTAAATTCTTATTCTCCAATGAAAGGTTAGATTTATGTGAATTTTTTAAATAAAAGATCAAAATGATTAACAATGCAGATTTATTTTCACAGCCTTCTTTGATCATATTTACCAAAGGTGCCAATAATTCTGACTATGACTGTACTTGTTTTTCATGAATGTATTTTACTACAATACAAAGAACAATGTGTAACATTTTACCAGATTTAGTCCTACGCGTACTCACTTTTATTTGTTCCCCACCAATGTTATTTCACTAAATGTTTACATTTTATAAAATTATTGTGCACTCATGATTTTTCTAGAATAACCTTTGCTGCTGAATTATCCACCAACCTAGTTTATAATAGTATTATTTTCATAGATTATCATTTTATATTTTTAATTTGTTATTTTTTATTAAAATGAAGTTGTCTATATTTGGTAGATTGTGTTTAACATAAAAGAAGTGACGACAGGACAACACAGAGAAGTACATTAATTCTACATTGATAAAAAAAAAATTAGCTGGGAGCGGATTGATATCGGTATTGAGCCATACTCAGAATTTTCAGTATTGGTTCGGATCGGTTCTAAAAAAAAAGGTATCATTGTATCCCTAATTTATTATTTATTTAGGATATAGTTTTTCACGTTCCGATTACAATGTCGAAATATTCTTAAGAATAAAACATTCTTTGTTCTTTAAAAGAGTGTACTTGCATTATTATGCTATTATATTGTCATACTGTCATTAATCAGTGGCGTAAAATTGTCTTTAAATGACAATTATATAATTTATCGCATTTCATTTTGGTGCAATACATCACACAACAAAAAGTAGTTATCGCGACAGCCCTACACACGGCGTAAATAAGAGATTGATTGTGTAGCTAGTGATTGATTATATCAGGAGTTTTTGCGTGAGTAAAGGTCCTTACGAACTGGGTCCGAAATTTTCGTATGCGTTTTTTCGTACTCATCATCCTTTCCTATCAAAATGCTTGTTACGGATGCGATAACGCAGAAAATAGAACCTGATCCGAATTTTTCATGACGGACGAAAGTTTCGGAACTCAGTGTGCAATGACCTTAAGTTCAGTCAGTTGTGGTATAATAGGAGCCCATTGCTCGGTTTCACTACATAATTTTAATAATAAAAAGTTTTGTTTGTCTAATAGGACCGAACGTCCACCTATACTGTTTCGGGAGTGACAAACGCGAATGTAAAAATTGTGCGAGTGAATCCGCTAAATTTTTCCACTGTCTTTATCGCTTTTTTTCACCCATGATGAGTTTGCTTCCCTGAACAATGCAACAATTCCTGCCCTTTTCCGAATGAATAATTCAAACGAATGCAGAGAGACACACTTTCCCAGGAGCATCTTTGACTTTCTCTTTCACCTGTTTCGAGCTTAAAGCATGTCACGGTTACCCATAATCCTCCGGTGATACTTATCCACCGCACAAATGTGACTGCGTGCGAGTCCCTTGAGATATTAATACTTAAACAAATGCCGTGAATAAAAAATGTATGACTGCGCCATACAGATTCTGACATGACAGAGAATTTAAGAGACTGCAACCCACAGTTTTTTAACCCAGAATGCAACCTTCTCTTCCCATTTACTTCTTCACAATAGGCATAGTTAAGATATTGAAGACCACAAAAAACATGTTGGCAATTATTTGAGCCAAATATTAATCATTCAATTTAGTGGAATCAGACTTTTTGATCAGTTTTAATCAGGCGCATCAGTTTAATAATGAAAATTTAGTGTGATTTTAATATTATAGAAAAAATGAAATAAAAATACTATGGGATATACTATATTAAAAAATACACACACATACAGTATATATTTTGAAAATATTTCACATGTAATTACATGTATATATTTATATTCATATAATTTATATTATATATAAATCTTTTTTTTTTAATAAATGCATGCATGTGTGTGTATTTATATATACATAATAAATATACACAGTACACGCACATATATTATGTAAACAAACTTATTTTGGATGTGATTAATCATTTGACAGCACTATATGAAAAATAATAATAATAATTGTTGTTATTGCTATTTTAATGTACTGTATTTTTAATTAAAGTTTATTTAAATGTTAATTATTAACACATTTTTTTTATTAAAATACAATGTATGTTTTGTTTAAAATGTGTAAAATATCTTTTTTTTTTCTGGTTTGTTTTTCTCTTAGATCCTGGTGCACCTGGGTCTGCTGACGAAGGAGTCTGGTTTTAAGATAGCGGAGAACGCGTTCAGCGGCGGCCCTCTGGGCGAGCTGGTTCAGTGGAGTGACCTGATCACCACGCTGTATCTGCTCGGACACGACATCCGCATCTCAGCGTCTCTCGCTGAGCTCAAGGAGTGAGTCTCCAACCCCTTCTCTGTCCTCAATTCTTCAGTCAGGTCCATTTAGTGCCATTTAATTCAATTCTGTGTCTCCAGGATCATGAAAAAGGTCATGGGCAACAAGTCCAGCTGCCCTACAAAGGGTGATAAAATTGTGGAGCTCATCTACATAGACATCGTGGGTCTGGCTCAGTTCAAGAAGACTCTGGGCCCGTCCTGGGTCCATTATCAGTGAGTTCACATTACATTTGTGCTTGAGTATGAAGTATTTTCCTCTGACACAGTTTCTTCAGCTCTGTTGAGAAATGCGACACTTGGGCGTTACTGACCACGTAAGCCGTTTGAAATTAGTCTGAACCTGATCTCCAGATTTGATCTCTGTCTTCAGACACTGAGACAGATTCTCGTGTGAATCCGAGCTGTTATTCCAGCCAGGTTTGGGCTTATCTAGTAATCAGGGTCGTCTGACCTGATATGATCCGTTAGCTGATACCAAACACAATCGTTTGCTAATGGATAACTTCCTGTAGTGTTAGAAACCGCCTTTACTGTAGTCAAATTTATAACGTCTGTGTATAAAGATTTGTTAAATTCTCCAGAAAATGATTTGCTTTATTTCAGTTATTTTTTTGAAATAAAAAAACTTTGTAAAATCAGAAGTAAAGTTTTCGTTTGAAAAATGTGCTTAATTGTCATGAAAAAAAGCCAAAATCCTGATGATGATGATGATAATAAAAACAATAATAATAATAATTATTATTTTTATCCATAACAATATTATTGTTATTATTATTAGTAGTAGTAATATTTATATTTTGACTGTTAATTAAATAGTATTTAATAACAATGATGATGATAATAATAATTATTATTATTATTACTATTGTTAGTCATATTATTTAATTTTGACTTTAAGTTAAGTCAATGTTATTTGAGTTTTCAAAATAACACAATTAAATGTGCTTAATTGTCATGGAAAAAATGCCAAAATACACACAATAAAGATATTAAAGTTGTTATTATTATTATTATTAGTAGTAGTAATATTATTTAATTTTGACTTATTTTTTCTTGTATTAGTGGTTATTTCACCACAAAAAAAGTTTGTATTACAGTACTTAAATTTTTTTTTTTTTAATTACAGTCATTGTTTTACTTAAAGAAGATCCAAGAGTAAATCTTAAGTCATATAATAAAATAAGAAAAATACTGTACCATAGTTTAAGTCCTTTTTTAACTACAAAACAGTTTTTAAAACCAAGTGCCACATTTGTCCACCAAAAGTCAAGTTTTTCATTAGAAATGTTTTGCTTGCCATAAAAAAATTCCAAAATGCAGATTATAATTGTCATTGTCATTATTTCTTTTATTCTTAGCATACTGTAATGTATAATGTAATGCCTTTTTTGTCATTCTTCTTTAAAATAAACATACTAAAAATTTTAAAAAGATAGTTAAGTGTATTTTATAAATATGTACACACATTTACAAAAAACACTATGCAGCATCCAAATATTTTATATATTCATGTTTTGACTTTAGAAATATATTATTATTATTATTATTATTATAAGCATTTTTTAATGTACAGATGTCAGCACTCTGTAGATGGTTTGTACACTGTTGTAATATGCCCACACTCCAGCTCTGAACGTGTGTTTTAGGTGCATGCTGAGGGTCCTAGACTCGTTCGGGACAGAGCCGGAGTTTAACCACGCCCACTACGCCCAGTCGAAAGGGCACAAAACTCCGTGGGGCAAGTGGAACCTGAACCCCCAGCAGTTCAACACCATGTTTCGTAAGTCTGCATGAGAGAGGCTTTGTGTGTGTGTGTGTGTGTGTGTGTGTGTGTGTGTGTTTAACCTTTCCCGTTTTACCCTTTGGACATGGAAACTTTATCCGGGGTTCCGGGGGTTTGGGTGGCGTCTCCGATCGGCTCGGGCTCTGAATAGCTCTTTTGTTTACCAACAGACTTTGACATTCTCATAAAACATGAGGCTTTCCGAGCAGAACTGCTCTTATTTCTGATTAAGCCTGTTTGAGAGCAGAGATTGCTTACATGTTTGAATGCTTTCTGGAGAGTAACTAACGGCTCAATCTCACCAAACTCCTCAAGAATAACAAGTCATATTATCAGTATTATTTTACCACAAAATCAAAAAAAGAAAAGAATATTATAATATCTTTTTATTGTACTTTATTTACATTTCAGTCATTGTTTTAATTACAAAAATGTAAAAGAAAAAAATTAAGTCATATTATAAGAAATAAAATAAGAAAAAATATTTAAAAAAAGAATAATAAGAAACTAAAATAAATATTGTATTATAGTATTTTTATTTATTTATTTGTTTGTTTATTTATTTTACATTTCAGTTATTTTTTTTAAACTACAAAAAATGTTTTTAAAATCAAAAGTGCCAAATTTTTTGTTGGAAATGTACCTAATTGTCATGAAAAAATGCCCAAATGCAGATGATGATGATGATTATTAATGCACAATTTTTACATATATTTATATAATTTTTACACATATTTGCACAATTTTCTACCATATTCTTATTAACATAATTAATGAGAATTATGTTAATAATGTGTTTTGAAGGTAATGTTTTACTTTTGAGTATTGTTTTAATGCTTAAACAAATTCTGAAAATAAAAATTGAAAAAAAAGTCAAAATGGAAAAGATGAGTGTATGCAAATATATATATTTTTTACATTGTTTTTTTTCATTACAGTTAAGCTCATTTCCGCTCCATATTTTCATTCTCATATTTTTTTAAATAATTCTTTTTCTAATAATTCTTTAAAAATATTGAAATAATAGTAATTATAATAGTTTAAAAAATATATACATTTTATCTCAACTTAAATCGAAGACACTACAACATATTTTAGTTTATCATTAATATATTAATAATAGATCACTGTTTTGCATTACCTCAATGACAGTTTATTAACTTGCATGGAAATAAATAATTTTATATTTTGCATTTTATTGCTTTATTACGACATTGAGCAAATTTTTTGCCATATTCTCATTACCATAATTTGTCTGTTTTACTTGTGAGCTTTTGCCATTCTTAAAAAATTACTAAATATAATAATAATAATAATAAAAATCAAGATAAAGACAGTACAACTTGATGTATAGATGTTTAAGTACTATAAAAATAATAATTAAAATAATATATGATAATATTATTAAATTAGTAATAATAAAATAACATAAATATAATTTTTTGGATTACAGTAATAAGAAAATATGCGTAATTATAAATGAAAACAATATCTCTTAATGAAAATATCACATTGTAAAACATTGCTGCAAAATATAATCTCTTGATTTTTCATTGTATTTTAAAGTTGAGTATGAGCTGTATATTACTATTATTATAATACATATATGTACAAAATAAATGTTTAATAATTAAGAATTAATAATTTATATATTTTTTATATATTTTAGGTTTGGGTTTTGACACAAATTTCATGATTCGATTCGATTCTCATTCACAAGCTTGCGATTCGATTCGATTACCGATTCAATTCGATTCGATTCAGTGTCGATTATTTTGGATATATATATCAGGTACAGTACATGCCAAATTTTCTCAAGAAAAAAAAATCTCTCAACTAATGCTGTAAAATATACATGAGAGTCAGTTGGCACTACGTTAGCCTACTATAATATTGAAGGTTAAAATTGACTGATTTGATAAAATGACACTTAATGAAGTTTTTTAAATAATAGTTACAATTACATAATAATATTTCTACTTACTACCATAATGGCGGCTGTCATAAAAACTTGATGGATTTATTCAAACATAAATTAAACATTGAAGAACACTAAAATGTATAATGAATGTGTTATATGGTGCATATATTTAGCAAAATACCCCTCTCTATAGTTTATTTTCTAACTAATGAGTTTATGGTCACCGAATATGTTTTTCTGAGGTAAATGTGACATTACGTGACATTGTTTACAAGACATTATACGGGATACGGCTTGTAAAGTTGTACTCTTTCTTTTAACTTACCTTCTTCGGATGTTTAGTCATGTTTATTTTGTGCTGAAACTTGTATTAATGTGGAGAAGGTGATCAGTTCACGTGCACTCGCGCGCTGTCTGTTGAGGCGCTACAGCGATCTGTCACTCCAAATTAAACGGCGCCAAAACAGCATTTATTGTTTGAATACTGCAATAGAATGGACAGAATTTGAAATCTGAGACTTTGTTTCATATTAAAAGTACCAAAGCACAATGCTTATTGCGATATATTGGATGGGAGATGTCCTTCAATGTTCAGTCCATTAACTGAAAACAGGCTAGACTAATCGATTCTTGGGATTTAAGAATCAATATCGTTCCGAAAAAATGAGAATCGATTAATATCGAAATATCTTATTTTAACTTAAAGTCAAATATAATATTTTACCCAGCCCTAATATATATATATATATATATGTAATTTTTTTTTATGGCGGAGAGTCTCTTTCAAAATTGTCAATTTTTAATCTGTTGCTAATTCCAAATCCAGCACTTTTTGTCCTGAGATCATTTTATCCATCAATTTTCATGTAAGAATGAAGCTTTGTCCTTCAGAAACTAATCCGCACTTAAACAAAGCACATTAGTGTGTGTGTGAAACTCAACAGGATAAGATGTCTATCACAGATGAAAGCCACTGCAGTGACAGGAGACGTCTCTGTGAGTGAGTGAGTGAGTGTGTGTGTGCGTGTGTGTGTGTGTTTGTGTAATATGCTGAGGTTTAATTTTTTTCCGCTCCTCTACTTCCACTCCTGGATTTAATAAGAACTCTTGTCTCACACACACAAACTCCTGCATTCCTGCTAATTACTGACAACATCTCGGTGACGCCACCTGCAAACTGCGTAATGTGTCTCCTCAGCATTCCTGCATGTAGTTGCTCCGTCATGTTGCCAAGCGCTCTTCTGAAGGGTGACGGGTGTGTTTGTGAGGTCTAGAATCGTCTTTCGCAATTCAACCACAAACCTTCCTCTTTTTTGGTGCAAAAACTTCAGAAAGAGACATTAGAAAATTGTGTACAACTTTATGGAATGAAAATTGGAATTATGGAATTCCAAAAAGAATGTCAGGTTTTCGTTCACACCGTGTGTGTGTGAGAGAGAGTGTGTGTGTGTGTGTGTGTGTGTGCGTGCTTGAGAGAGTGTGTGTGTGTGTTCTCGTAGAAGCATATTTGTGCTATTTACAGTATCTATAGAGAGAAGGAGAGCAAGAGGTCCATATTCCATTTAAACGCCATTTATGGTTTCTGCAAAACTGCGCAAATTGCATTATGGGCGGCCTGGGTTCTGAATTTCATCCTGCACTCTCATTGGAATTGACGGGTAACCGTGATAACACGCTCCAGCTCATGCATGCATTTGAGGTGTGTGTGTGTGTGTAAATAAGAAATCTTAATCTCAGGATTGAATTTTTTGGACAGATGGCATTCAGGTGTATCTCTGCCAAGCCTCGTTACCCTGGCGACCTCTTGGACTAGCGTTGTCATGGTAACAGCTCCTCGCTTGGCAGCATGGACACCCACATGAATCTTTGTCGTACACAATTAATCTGAACATCTTCCCTCAGGCGTTCCGGTCCTGATGTGCTGTGCTAGATCAGATTCCTGTGGTTAAGAAACAATTATATTTTGAATTTTAAAAATCTTTTTTTACTCATCTAATCTCCTGAAAATCTTCTATTATTGCATTATTTGTTTCGGTGTTTGTTCTTTTTTTAATATTTAAAAATGTGTTATTTATGTGTTAATAATGTGTTATTTTATATCAGTTTCTTTATAGAAACGTGCCTTAAAATTTTTAATCTACAAAAAAGGAGAATGTTGTCAAATTATATGGGGTAATTTGTCAAAATATATAAGTATATCATATTTTTTTATATAAAAAAATACTTATTTTTGGCCAACAAATTTTGTAATTTAATAAATTTTATAAATGTGTCATCCTGTGACATTCTAAAACAATTAGAAAACGTATGGAAATTACGGAAACTGCCAAATTGTTAAGAGTAATGTACAAAAAGATTTATTTTTTTTAATGTAACTTTTTAACATATTTTTTTTATTTAACTTTTTGGCCAACAAATGCTGTCATTTAATACAATTTATATATGTATAACATTTAAACATTTTGCCCTGACAAGTTTTTTATTAAAATTTATATTTTCAAAATGTATGTATTTATGTATCCATCACATTTTGTAATTTAATACATTTTATAAATGTTTAACTTTAAAACATCACATCTTGCCACAACCATTTTTATTCAATATTTTAATAAAAAATTCAAAACTTAAATGCTTATGAAATTGAATTACTCAAACAGCCAAAATAGTAAAGAGTAATCAACAGATAAAATATAAATGTGTAACTTTTGAAACATGTGACATCTTGCCCCAGCCTGACATTTATTAAAAATACTTTTAATACTTTAAAGTTTAAACCAACGTTATATAATTGACTTTTGCCTTGGTGTATGTGATTTTAAATATTTTGCTATTTTAATACGTTCATATTCATATTTACAAACAATTTGTTCTTGCTTCTTGTTATTAACCCAGTACATTATCATGCTTGTTGAAAGTAAATAAATAAATGCGTATAAAATATTGATTTGAGTTGAAATTATTGCACTATGTGAGAATTCTGAGAATAGGTATTATAATTCATGTTGTTTTTTTCTTCCACATATTAATCTCTTTAAATTGCTTCTCATACTGTATATTGGTAAAAAAAAACATGTTTTATTAATATAATCCACATTAACTTCTCATGTTCGTGTTGTTTGGCTTGATCTCTCTGCCCTCTTCTGATTGGTTGTTGTGTTTACCCCGCAGCTCACACTCCAGATAACAGCTTCCTGGGCTTCGTGGTGGAGCAGCACCTGAACGCCAGCGACGTCAAGCACATCGACGACATCAAACGGCAAAACCAGTCGCTGGTTTACGGCAAGGTGGACAACTTCTGGAAAGTGAGTTCTCCTCGAAATCAGTCTTTTTTTGGCTGTTTACATGTGAAACCGTGTTGTGTTTATATGCTAGATTGTTTCGCCAAGTTTTCCGACTTTGAGCGCCAACAAAACTGTTTTCAATTCGACTGCGATGACTTCATCTTTCCCCACCACAAGGCCATGGCCGGTTCCGCCGTTTAGATGTTCCTACAGAGAGCGTTTCGCTGCCCATCTGGATCCGAAACGCCCTGTGTGATGAGATACGCAGATGAAAAACCAGTCCCTCTGTACTCACACACCATCCAGAACATCTAATCCCACACATTTTCCCCCAGGAGGGACCTTATTCTCAGTCTGTTTCTCCAATGTCCTTTAGAGAAAGTTTGCGTGTTTTTGGCGAACAATACGGGATGAACAAAGTCATATTATGGATAACAAGATTTTTCCTGCACTCGTAGACATGAAACGAAACATTTAACATGAAGTATGCCAGTATGCAAATGTTAGCTAATCGCAAAAGAGCTCATTTACGTATCTTACAATATTGTACAGTAATAAAATCTGGCCGTTCTAATTTTAAGGTTCACCAGGATGTTGCGACAAAACGCTTGTGTGTTTGTGACAAATACCGTGGGATGAATAATATTTTTTTCTTGCTCTTTTTGACATGAAACGAGAATTTCGATGTGAAGTTTGCCAGTATGTAGTTTGTTAGCTAATCGCAACAGAGCTCATTTACATATCTTAAAGGTACAGTAACAAAAACAGACCGTTTAATAACAGTAATTTAAAAAAGTTTTTGTCGAACAACGTGGGTTGAAAGGAATCATGGATAAAAAAAAAATTCTTCTCTTTGGCACAAAATGAAAGTTTGCGCAAAGATTGCCAGTATGCTAATTGCAACAGAGGTCATTTACATATCTCAAAGATACTGTACCAAAAAAAAAAAAAAACAGCCCGTTTCATTCTAAGATTCAGCAAAACTGTTGCAAAAAATAGATGCGTTTACATTGGCAATTTTTTTGCGTTTAACGTCAGGAACATTTTTCATGATTTTCACATACAACACAGGATGACAAGCGTCTTGTTTGGGATTTTTCTAGCTCTCTTGGATTCAAAAGTTTGCGTGTGAAGATTGACAGCACAAAGAGGTTTGTCTAATCACAAAGGAGCTAATTTACATATCTTAAAGGTACAGTAACAAAAACAGCCCATTCAAGGTTCAGCAAGAGGTTGCGACATTACTTTTGCGCATTTGTGGCATAGAACGTGGGATGAAAAGAGAAAAATCATGAATAATATATTTTCTTGCTCATTTTGGCATGAAATAAATTTCCATGTGAAGTTTGCAGTATGCAGTTCTTAGCTAATTGCAACAGAGCTCATGTACATATCTTAAAGGTACAGTACAGCCCATTTCATTCTGAGGTTCAGCAAAATGGTTGCGAAAAATAGATGCATTTAAATTGGCAATTTTTTGCAGAAATCTGAAAAATCTTTTCGCAATTTCTACATACAACACAGGATGAAAAGAATCAGGTAATGAATGTTTTGACTGTAATTTAAGAAGCTTTTGTGCATTTTTGGTGTACAGCGTGGGTTGAAAAAAGTCATATTATGGATACAATTTTTATTGTTCTGTTCGACACAAAATATAGGTTTGTGCGAAGTTTGCTAGTATGTACAGAGCTCATTTACATATCTTAAAGGAACTGTACCAAAAAAAAAAAAAAAACATTTTGTTCTTAGGTTCAAAAGAGTTGTGAAATTTTTTTATATACAACAGATGATGAAAAGAGTTATGTTAAGGATAATGGGATTTTTTTTCTTGCTCTGTTAGATGCAAAAGTTTGCAAATTCGTTGAATTTAAATTACAAATATTGCGGGAAAAGAGAACATAAATGCGGAGAAGATCTTGTTTACATCAAAACTGAAACCAAGCCGTGCAACGCGGAACACATATTTCGCGCATTTTCTAGAGGGACATCTATCACCGTTGCACTCGCATCTCGTACAAAAGAGCCGCATGTTTAGAAAGCCATGTAAAATTAATGCAAGTTCAACTTTGAAAAAACATATCTCAAGACTTTATGGCGGGGGTTTTTCCCATCCCACTGCAACTCGTGTTTTTAAATGAAAAATGTACTCTGTGTGATTGGCTTTCGGCCCTTTGTATTAAACTATGCATACATACATGATGCTGTTTTGTGTATAGTTGTTTAAGCAACTTAATTAATTATAATTGGTTTATAAACATTATTTTAAACATTATGCTTTTTGCACATATAGTCATGTTATCTTATGCTTTGAAGAAACGTGCATTAGTAATATTTTGCTCGATGCGCCCTCTTGTGGCCTCCGAAGAGAATCCAAAAGCTTTTCTTCACTCCAACTGAAATTATGCATTTTAAATTTGAATATAATTCGAATTTTGATAATATTTAAGTACAAAATTCAAATGTAGTTTTTCAGCCATTTTGACAGCCCTACAGCACACAGATGTTGGCTAATCGCAAAGGAGCTAATTTCTGTATCTTAAAGGTACAGTAACAAAAACAGCCAGTTTAGTTCTAAGGATAAGAAAAAGGTTGTGAAATATAGATGCAATTATAGTGACAAACATCGCAGTTAACCTAGTTAAGAGCCATATTATGGAAAATTCATAGTTATCCTCAGGGGATGTTTTTTTTTTAATACATCACAGAATGAGAGAGTAATTTTATAGAAAACAGGATTTTTTTTCTTGCTCTGTTGGACATGAAACAAAAGTTTGTGCATGAAGCTTTGCTAGTATGCGGAGGTTTGGATAATCTAAACGTACAGTAACAAAAACAGCCCGTTTAATTCTAAGTTTCAGCATAAGGGTTGCGAAACACGAATGGATTCACAGCAACACTGCATTTCACAATTAACCTCAAGGAACGTTTGCGCAATTGTGACACCGTGGGAGTGCACAAGCTCATTTACATCTTTTAAAGGTACAGTAGCAAAAAAAAGTCCAGTTTGATTCTCAGGGTCAGAAAGAGGATGCGAAAGATGTATGCTATTACAGCATTCTCATTTAACCTCATGCAATTTTACTGATGCCGTCCTTCACCCAGCGATAGAGAGAAAGGCTCCTGCTATTGCACAGCCTCTCAAGAACTGGTTTCCATGGAAACAAACTTGAACATAGACCCTGAATCAGTGAGTGTGTGTGTGTCGTCTAGAGATCAGAGGATATGTGTATAGGCTTTTGAAATGCAAATAAAGTCTTGGCTGCATGAATGCACACATTGCGTTATTAGCGCTACAAGTTCACATGCAATGCATCTCTGTGTTTATTTTCTGTATCAAACACAGATGCTTTTCTGTGATTGGTTTTACTCTCTCTCACACACATACACACACACACACAAACATATATATTAAGGGCTGAAATATGCTTGAGAATGCCTTACGGTACTCTAATCACTCAAACAATGCACATTTTTCTGCTTTGTAGCTGCAGTGTTTTCACGCTGTGTTGGCGTTTCCGGCTCATATCTCCCATAATCTTATCACTGTGTGTTTGTTAGTTGATAAAACAAGGAACTAATTGATGATTAAACAAGGAGATCATTGACATTCTGTTGGATAGTGTGTGTGTTCTGACCTAACTGAGATAACTCACAGACGTGAATCTAGAATCATACGCAAGAATACAAGAATGTGAATCCAGACTAAATATTATAATAAAAAAGGTATTTTAAAAAAAAGAGAGATTTTTCACTTAAGACTGTGATCATTTGTCATTGATTTATTTTTGAAGCTTAGTACTGTAATCATGCTGTAAAAATTCAGGGAACCACTGGCTATAAATCTCCCAACTGTGATATTTTCATAAATAGAAGTCGCGTTTTTTTCATCTGAAACATGCAGCGATTTATTTTCCAAAGCCACTCATATAATACAGAAACTCATGAAGCAAGCAAAACACGCGCCACACCCACACGTATTTGTACTGATGCAGAATGAGAGGGACAAGTACAGTACAGCCTAGCGTATTTCACACAGGCTGTTAGTTTCACTTTCGCCAGAAAGTCGTGTATGCTTAAGGGGGAAAATAAATGACGTTTATAGTGAATGCCCCTATAAATTGTCTTATATTTACGATTTAGTTTTAATCCAAATGATGCATGCTAAGTGAGCGAACATCAGTAAAGATCACACAACAAGAAGTGTGCGCTCTCTCCCTCCCTCCCTCCCTACCATTAATTAACTTGTGCATTGTTTTACTTACTACTTTTTGACATATCCGACCGAACTACAAGCTTTCCAGTGATGTCTGTGAGAAAGGGATTTTCACTCGACAAGCTCACGCATCTGCGCCGCGCACTCAATCCACTCAGCGTGATTTGCTTACCAGCTCGCGCAAATCAGCTATACAGGCATTAATACTGAATGTTTTATATTCATTGCATACATATACTTCGTATCTAATAACTCCATTCTGCTGTCTGTTGTCAGTGGTTCTTTGTCTGAATATGGCACTTATTATCACATGCTGTGTGGTATCGGCGTTTGGTATCTGGGCATTTTAACGAGTACGAGTACAGGAGCTCAGTATCGGGCCCGATATTGATACCAGTATCGGTATCTGTGCATCCCTAATATATATATATACACACACACACACACACACACACACACACGCATAATTAGACACACACTTATTTTTTACATACATTTGTAACATTAAAGTTTATATATATATATATATATATATATATTAAAATCAATATAAAATATATAATTTTTTTATAAAAATGTATTAGAAAAATACATAATTTATTATGTTGTTAATGTTTTATTTATTTATGTTGATGATTATTTATTGGTAATTATGGTTGATATATATTTTGTTGGTATGATTGAGTTTTTACTCTCACCTTGTTCTTGAGACCTTGCTTACACACACACACACACATCTACCAGTTTTATTTCTGTTTGCATCCTCTGACAGGAAGTGGGCGTCTTTGTGTTCTTTGAGTGTTTGTAAAGAAAAAGCTTACTTCTATCCTCTTCATCTCGTGGTTGCCCCCCCCCTGGAGTCCTGTTGGACTGTTCCTGTCCACTTCTGCTCAACTGAAACAAGTTCACACTGAGAGCTAAAAAAAATCCGCTTTTTGTTTGTGTGTTCTAAGCTTCCTGGGGTCTTTTGGCTCCAGTCACACAAATCTGTTAACAGAATGTCTCAGTATGATTCAGATTATCTGCATCAGTCAATCTGAGACAAAATATCCCTGCAGAAATCTGCATTTCATGACTTCAAATAAGATGATGTAGTACTACGATTATGAGTTATTGTTCTTGCTTACATCAACAGAAAAGAACAACTGTTGTTTGTTAGTTATTTTGCTAATATGAACAGCAATATTGCAACTATATTTTACAGTATAATATCAATATAATGTTTCTTCTTCTTCACATTAGTATAATATAGTTTATAATATAATATAGTATAATATCCATATAATATTTTATAAATATTATAGATAATTTTTATTGGATAACAATTTTCTAATAAAAATAATTTTATGTAATATTTAATTTGATATAATATCCAATAATTTTATATAATAAATCATTTGTAATTTTATAATGCAAATAAATAAAATATAATTTGAAAATGCAATATTTGTTATAATTTGTTTTATTTATAGCAATATTATAAATTATTATTTTATATCAATATTATATTAAAATTATTTTATATTTAAGACAATTTTAAAATAAAGATGATTATGAATACTTAAACTAACTGTAATAATAATTCAAAAAAATATTTAGCCCCGCTAACATGATCTTGCTTTTATCAGTGAAAAATAAAAAAATATATATGATTTTGTTAATATGAGTAGTAATATTGTACTTCATATTTTATATATTTCCTATAAATTATTTTTATTATTAAAGTATTTTGATTATACAAAAACTTATTAAAATGTACACTTATAATTGTATAATACAAATAAATAATCTTAGCATTTGTTTTATTTATAGTAATATTATATTATTTTTATGAATATTAATTATATGAATACTAAATAACTTTAATATGAATCAATTCTGAGTTCAAACATATTTAGCCCCGCCCACATGGTCTTGCTTACATCAGCAGAAACCAAAAATAGTTTCCGAGTGCTACAATAAGACCTAATCAACCTTCGTCACTGGGTTCTCACGTGTACGTGTTTTTACTTGTGTTTTAGGATAAAAAGAAATACTTGGACGTCATTCATTCGTACATGGAGGTGCACGGCACGGTCCACGGCACGAGTACAGTCCACCTGCCGGCCTACGTGAAGAACCACGGCATCCTGAGCGGACGCGACCTCCAGTTCCTCCTGCGCGAAACCAAGGTCTGAGTCAATAAAACATTTCTGGCAGACTTGAATATGGCCTGTACAGTTGTTTATTAGTAGTGTCTCGCTTCAGTTTTGAGTTTATAGTGTTTGTTGATGCTTGAAACGTAAGTGTGAAAGCTGCACTGCACTTACATGGTGACCTTCCCGACTTTGTGGCTTGTGTCTGGCATGAAGCTCAACCACGAGAGAGGATGTGCTGCCCTGCTGTTTCTCTGAAGTCTCGCAACTTTTTTTTTTTTCTCCTCCCACCTCGGCCTTTTTTCCTCGCTCTGAGCTCGACTTTAACTTCCCTGTTGTTTCAACTTCATGCAAACTCCTGGAGAGAGCGAGGCTGCTTCATTTACGTACAGGGAGAGTGAACGTGTCGTCAGACTCGTTCCACTAATTTGCAAATAAACAAAGTCACTTGGAAGGCCATCAGACATGCAAATGTTCGCTGAACTCGCCTGATGTGTTTCTGCCACACGTCTTGAAGACGTCTCAATCTTTCTTTCTAGAAGCCTGCTTGTTTTCAATACCTCTCTGCTGCTCCCCGCTGGTAAACCATGGAAGTTCAACCACAGAAAGTTTCTAAACTTTTTATGCACAATAATTATATTTCTTCTTATTATTAAATTATATTATAAATCATCCTGAATGTATAACAATAATAAAATGTATAATTTTTATTTTTATAATACATATAAATTATAAAAATGAATAACATGATTATTTATTATATCATATATTATGTGTTTATATATATATATATAATTTTATTAATAGTGCAGTTATATTTTATATATCGTTTTGATTATATAGCAGTTTAATACAATAAATAATTAGTCTGTTAATACATATAAATAACATTTATTATAATGTTTTTTGTTAATATTAATAGTTAATCATACATCATATTTTATATATTTAATGTTACACTTTAATAATAAAATATGTAATTTTATAATATCTATAAATTAATTCTAATTAAATTTGTTGTAATGACTATCTGTGTATATATATATATATATATATATGTATATATATATATATATATAAAGGTATACATATATAGATATACTGTGTGTGTGTGTGTGTGTGTGTGTGTATTTGCATATCGATATAGATAGATAGATAGATTATAAAAAATAGTGTCATTTTAAAATATATAATCTGTCCTAATTTTATAAGAAAAATAATTAAACAATTGTTTCAAATTAAAATAATATTTGTTAAAAAATTTTAGTATTTATAATTCTAGTAATTTATAGATCTAATAATTTTATATTAATAGCTTTAATGCATGTTATTATTTACATATACATACATTATGGTTGCTTTGGTTAAAAATATCTGCTATAATCTAATAATTCGTTTTTTATTAGCATTGTTATACATTAATATTTACATATACATTAATGTTGCTTTATATAAAAAAGTACCTGCAAAATGCATAAAATGTAAATTAATGATTAGTGTTTTATTAATATTAATACCAATATTATACATTATTGTTATTCATATACTTTATCACTTTGGATAAAATCATCCGCTAAATGTGTAAAATGTCAATTATTTTATATATATCGTTTTTTTTTTTTTTATAAAGCTAATTAGGAATACTAAAGACTAACTGTAATGTCATTTTTGCATTTGTAGAATTAAAACAACATATTTACAATCCTGTTAAGCTCTTTTGTGAAGTAAATAAGCTTCAACTAATGTTAATAAATGAAAGTGCATGACAGATCACTGGTGCATTGTGGGTCAGTGTGATTGGTGTGTGGTCATCTGTCTGAAACACATTATTGTGCTGGCCGCATGGAAACATTTGCTCAATACAGACTGTGTGCTTTTATTGTGATTGTTACACTTCTCACTGTTGATTGTTATTAGAGCCGGTGATTGCTGCAGTGCAGCTGTGCAGATGTGAGTTTATTGCAGGTAAATTGGTTCTGGGAATCAGCCGTCAGGTTTCCATCAGTGGATCGTTTGTTTGATGTTCCCCACTGCGAGCTTGTTGAAAGTGCTCCAGAAAGCCCTGATTTCCCTCTCAGGAATCAACCAAATACATCTATCAGTCTTAAAATACGCTGAGATGAGATTTAGACATGGAAATCAGGCCTGGTTTATGAGGAAACGTTTGTTTGTTCAGGCCTAAATTCCCTGTAAATAGCACATAATCACGTTTGCATGCTCAGGAGTATATGTGTGTGTGTGTAAATGTGTTTGGTGCTGCTGTTTGCTGAATTTAGCTTCACTGTTATTATAATCATACATATAGTTATGAATTTAAACTAACTTCTAACTTTAACTTCTAAGTTAAAAAGTGTGCATTTTCATGCAAATGTTGTTGTATTGTTTTAACACAGAACATAAATAATGCAATATCAAAATATTAATATTTTGTTACATTATGAATAATAATATTGTACTTTGTATTCCTCAGAAGTTGAAGTGAATTCCTTGTTACAGAATATAAATACAAAATCTAAATGTTATCAATATTTTAATACTTTATATTATTCTAAGTTTTATATATATATATGTGTGTGTGTAAATATTTGTTGTAATGTCTATCTGTGTATATATATATATATATATATATATATATATATATATATATATAAAGGTATACATATATAGATATACTGTGTGTGTGTGTGTGTGTGTGTGTGTATTTGCATATCGATATAGATAGATAGATAGATTATAAAAAATAGTGTCATTTTAAAATATATAATCTGTCCTAATTTTATAAGAAAAATAATTAAACAATTGTTTCAAATTAAAATAATATTTGTTAAAAAATTTTAGTATTTATAATTCTAGTAATTTATAGATCTAATAATTTTATATTAATAGCTTTAATGCATGTTATTATTTACATATACATACATTATGGTTGCTTTGGTTAAAAATATCTGCTATAATCTAATAATTCGTTTTTTATTAGCATTGTTATACATTAATATTTACATATACATTAATGTTGCTTTATATAAAAAAGTACCTGCAAAATGCATAAAATGTAAATTAATGATTAGTGTTTTATTAATATTAATACCAATATTATACATTATTGTTATTCATATACTTTATCACTTTGGATAAAATCATCCGCTAAATGTGTAAAATGTCAATTATTTTATATATATCGTTTTTTTTTTTTTTATAAAGCTAATTAGGAATACTAAAGACTAACTGTAATGTCATTTTTGCATTTGTAGAATTAAAACAACATATTTACAATCCTGTTAAGCTCTTTTGTGAAGTAAATAAGCTTCAACTAATGTTAATAAATGAAAGTGCATGACAGATCACTGGTGCATTGTGGGTCAGTGTGATTGGTGTGTGGTCATCTGTCTGAAACACATTATTGTGCTGGCCGCATGGAAACATTTGCTCAATACAGACTGTGTGCTTTTATTGTGATTGTTACACTTCTCACTGTTGATTGTTATTAGAGCCGGTGATTGCTGCAGTGCAGCTGTGCAGATGTGAGTTTATTGCAGGTAAATTGGTTCTGGGAATCAGCCGTCAGGTTTCCATCAGTGGATCGTTTGTTTGATGTTCCCCACTGCGAGCTTGTTGAAAGTGCTCCAGAAAGCCCTGATTTCCCTCTCAGGAATCAACCAAATACATCTATCAGTCTTAAAATACGCTGAGATGAGATTTAGACATGGAAATCAGGCCTGGTTTATGAGGAAACGTTTGTTTGTTCAGGCCTAAATTCCCTGTAAATAGCACATAATCACGTTTGCATGCTCAGGAGTATATGTGTGTGTGTGTAAATGTGTTTGGTGCTGCTGTTTGCTGAATTTAGCTTCACTGTTATTATAATCATACATATAGTTATGAATTTAAACTAACTTCTAACTTTAACTTCTAAGTTAAAAAGTGTGCATTTTCATGCAAATGTTGTTGTATTGTTTTAACACAGAACATAAATAATGCAATATCAAAATATTAATATTTTGTTACATTATGAATAATAATATTGTACTTTGTATTCCTCAGAAGTTGAAGTGAATTCCTTGTTACAGAATATAAATACAAAATCTAAATGTTATCAATATTTTAATACTTTATATTATTCTAAGTTTTATATATATATATGTGTGTGTGTGTGGTTATTATAAATTTTTGGATTATTTAGAAATGTAATAAAACATATTTAACACAGCATAAATACAATATCAAAATATAGATTTTTGTTACATTATGAATAATAATTTGTATGGTAATAATTAATCATAATAATCAGTAATAAATATTTAATACAGACTTGGGCTTATTTGACATGTTTTATTCCTCAGAAGTGAAAGATAATTCTTTGTTATAGAATGTGAATACAATATCAATATTTTAATACTTTCTTACATTATTATAAGTTTATATAAGTATGTGTGTGTATATATATATATATATATATGATTATTTCTTAAAATAAGTTATTATAATAAATAATTGTATTATTAATACTTCTGATTATATAACATTTTTTATTAAAACTAACTTAAAATACTAATAAATAATTGAAATAATATTTGTTATAATCACCGTTTTATTATTAGTAATATCATACGTTATTATACATTTTTATCATTTCAAATAAATTATTCAAACTTTATTTTTACAGTCCATTTAAACTTTTAAAATTGTTATATTATGAATACTAAATTGTATATTAAAAGAAGTTAATTCTGTGTTTTAATTTGCTTAATTTAATTACATTTAATTTGCTTCATATTTTATGTAATATGATCATGTTTTATGATGTCTGTTTGTTCTCCAGCTTTTTGTGGGACTGTCCTTGAAAGTGAATTATTATGTAACGTTTACATAATACATAATATTTTGATCTAATATAACCTTTAGGAATATAAAATATAGTATATAATAAATCTGCGTTATTATAAATAAGTACCATAAACATAATATCAGTATATTAATGTTTTGTTTTACAGTTGGAATAATACATTATTAATTAACAATACTGATGATAATAATAAAGATGGTGATGATTTAATATAGAATTTGACAAAAAAATACATATTAAACATCACATAAATTACACGTTTGTGTCTTCAGAAGTGAAAGTGAATTCTTTGTTACTTTTATTTTATGTAATATTTTCTATAATAATAATAATGTTTGCGTCTTCAGAAGTGAAAGTGAATCCATTGTTACTTTTATTTTATGTATTATTTTATATAACAATAATAATAATAGTTATAATAAATTGTTATAATAATAAGGAATATAAATATAATATCAATACTTTAATATTTTGTTTTACATTAGGAATAATAAATAATGTTTTACCTAATAATTGACCTTTTCATTGTCACTTCAGACTACAACTAACAAGCTCTATTGTATTTGTATTTTTACAGTAAAAAAAATAAATAAAAATGAGCCATTTTCTCTCCAAGGACTTCCTTTAAAGGAGTGTTGGTCAATTTTGTGAACATTTTTTCTAAAAGCCTAAAAGCATACATTTAAATATAAATTATATAATTTTATATATATATATATATATATATATATGTATATATACACACACACACACTTGTATGTATTTTAATATGTATTTTATAATTATACATATTTTAATATTTAATTATGAATATTACTTATTTGATGAATAGTTTGGTGTTATTTTCCATAAATTAAGAAAAATTGGTTTTTAATATTTAATGTTGTTTTCCTTTATTTTTCATAACTTCGTTTTCCATAACTTTTTATATTTTAAATATACATTTTAATGCTTAATATATAAATATATATTTTTATCATTATACATATCTGTAGTATTTCATTATAAATATTACTTAAGTGCGTAGTTTGATTTTTTTTTTTTCCTTAAATTAAAAGCAAAAATATATATATTTTGATATTTAATTATAAATATAATTTTAGATATATATTCAGTTTTGTCCTTGCATAAATTTATATATTTTATATATTACAGCGATTTAATATTTAAATATAAATATTATTAGCATTATGATTTTAAAAATTTAAATATGCATTATCTAATAACATTTATATTAAGTTTTCTTTTAGTTTTCATAAATACAATTTTTAAATCTCAAATATATATTTGCTCAAAACGACTCTACTCTTCCGGTCACGAGCTATGGCGCAAGGGCAGAGCTAGTGACGTGAGGGGTAAACACTGGGATAAAAGACGGGGGAAAAGCTGAAGCTGATGTATAGCACTGTTCCAGTCGGACCTGCTGCTGTTCAGCTGCGCCGGGGCCCATCAGTCCCTCACGCGCATCTGTCCCTGCAGAGACTACATGAAAGGACAGGTGGCGCTGTGCAAGGACTGCTTATAACACGCACAGTTCGACAACTCCATACGACTCCAAAAACTGGACAGGACCGGACTGTTACATAGCGCAATGCAGACAGCGCCAGTGTTGTAACGCGCGGTGATGCGATTAAAGAATTCAGAGTAATCCAACTCTTGTTTTATTCCCATAAACTCACGAAAAAAACGAACCGAAAACGCTAGAGTGTGGCAGCTCTCTGAAAAAGAACACAGAAGGATGGAAAGAGAAGAAACTGATTTATTTTGCTGGATTTTTTGTTTTTGCGTGAACTTGAGCTAGTTTCAGGCTGACATACTTGAAGTGGATTGCAGGGAATCAGAACTGCACACTGCCCCCTGCTGGCGTGGAGGAAACACTGTAGTGACATTTATTACCGTAGTTCTTCATTCTACTGTTTTTTTTTTCCTTCGTCCAATTTTTCTTCTCTCTCTGAAGATGACTTTTATCATTGGACCAAGTCTGACGACTGACTCTGAAAAGCATCTTTGACCATTTTGAAGACTCTTACCGAGTGCGTGTTTATTTGTGTGTGCGAGAGCGCTTGTTGTTGGGGAAACAAACTTTGCGAAGATATTTCTCCACTTTTACACTGAAACTGGACTTTCCACATACTGGCTCCGTGAAATGACACGTTCACATGTAAATAACAGACGCCGAAACGTAAACACGCGGTCTGCTTTATTCTGCATGGTAGTTTATTTCCAACAGTTTAATAACAGCACATGCTAACACTGGGAATTTTCGGTGTTGGTCACGATCCACGTTAAATATCGCAGTACCGCACCAGTCAACTGCCAGGTGTGATGTTTTAGTGAAATACACACGTCGCAAACCAGCCAGTATGAACTAGAACGCAAACCAACTGACCAAACTAACCATTAAACTAGTAGACTGAATTCAACTAAATTGGGACACATTTTTGCTGTTGCGTTAATTGGCAAAAGTGGCCAAGTTTACCTGAATTAACACTATATCACGGGTTTCAGATGCTCTATATGTGGATAAGATAAATACCAATACGATCACAGATATTTCTGTAAAAGTTTATCTTTATTTGTATAAAAAAAGAAAGATATATCGGTATAAAAACAAAGTGTACATTACTAGGATAAAATACTTTTTTCTTTTTATATATTGTGTTAAAAAAACAAATTGGCCTTGGTTTTTGTTTTTCGTTTTTATTTTCTTGAATTTGCCTGCCGATTATCGAAAAACGTCAAAATGATTAGAGTTACTTGTGTTTTGGAATGAAAATGCACTATAGCGAAGATTAGACGCCAGATATTACAACACTGTACAATTGTTTTAAAGTTTGTTTTTAATTTATTTTGTAAACAGATCTTTATCTCTGCCTGTTGATTTTTATGTGACTATTTATAGAAGAGAAAATTCTTTATAGAGGGAAATATTATTTATCAGACTAATTTAAGTATAAGCGCACATGCTTGTCCAGAGTACTGTCTGAAAAAAACTATTTGCGGCGGAACTAAATATACAGTACATTTAGATTTATTATTAATTTAATACTTGAAAGGATGTGTTTCAGAATATTTTGAAGAATTTTAGTAACCAAACAGTTAAAGGAACCCATTGAGTATTTTTTTTTTCAGACTATGGAAGTCAGTGGCTTCTATCAACAGTTTGGTTACCAACTTTCTTCAAAATATCTTCGTGTTCAGCAAAAGAAAGAATCTCATACAGGTTTCGATCAATTTGAGGTTTAGTAAATGATGACCGAATTGAATCCCTTTAATTAAATTATTAGAAATTCTTTAATGACCATGTGTAAAATTTCAATTAAAATAACTGAATACTTAACTACAAAATGTAGTTTAATTAAAACAATTTAAAAAATACAAAAAATTTGAAGTTTTAGCTGTAAAATTTTATTATAAAAATAGTACAGCATAACATATCATAACATAATTTCCTTTATTGTCAATACCCTGGACAAACATTGCGAACACAGTTTAATTTCTAAAGCCAGCAAAAACCTCATTTGATGTTTTCTGTACACATTTGCACATTTGTAAATATAGATGGGTCTCTTCTAGTTTTCCATTCTAACTTATATGATAGTTTTACGTTTGCTTTTCCGCTCTATGTCGAGATCTGTACGTTTGTATGTAAAACGAAGGTCTTCAGCCAAGCAATTGTTTCATCTTGTTTCATGATGTGCCTTCTGATGGTTACTAGAACTGTCTGGTTTGTTTTCCTTTACGAAATAGCTAGTGCTGGAGGTGAAATGCTAGCTAGAAGCCGAAATAGTAGTTTAATAGCTGAAAATAGAGTCGCTCGGCATTTAGCGTGAAATAGTCTTGCCAAATGTTTAATGGTTGTTGACACGCAAAATCACACAATCAAACTAATATGTCTAGATGACTAAAGTCGTTACTTTTGGTTTACAGTATGAAGGATGCCACAGTTTCGAAAGTGTTTGTGTTCGTACGGCTTAGCTGTAGCTATTTATAATAATGACGGTCAAAATTTTATTGAAAATATTAGATTAGTCGAATAAAAAAAATCATGGCCAGTAATTCTTAGCTAGTAACTACTGCTCATATATTGGAAATAATTTGGAACGAAACCCAAATTATAAATGGAACCAATATGTTAACAATGTTCTGGTTTACGTTGCTGTTAATAATAATTGCTTTTGTTTTGTTTGAAACTGAAATGCATTCACACATCATTTGTAAACTGATAAACCTGATGTTTTTTTTTTTAAGTTGTTCTTTTGTTTTGGGGGTGATTTACATTCATTATGATGGATTTTAAGACGTTCATGGAAAAAAGAAAACAGTTTGTTTTTCAGTAATTTTGAGGAATCAGTAGGATATATCTTTATTTTTCAAATAAACATTTTTCTGTGACAACAGACATTTCTGTGTAAATATACATGTGTACTCCACAGCAACATAGTTGTATATATACATTCATGTATCTTATGACATTCAGCCCGATTTACGTCGGCTTTTGTCAGCATTTGTTCTTCGAACAATGGTGTGAATTCAGTTTTTAAGTAAATAATGGCTTTAACCAAATAATAGCCCCAATATTATTTTCGGGCCTCAGTTTTAAAAGAATAGTTCACCTAAAAATTTAAATGTACTCACCCTAAGGTCACCCAAGACGTAGATGAGTTTGCTTCTTCATCAGAACAGATTTGGAGAAATGTAGCATTACATCACTTGCTCACTTTGTTACTGTGATGCTCTGCAGTGAATGGGTGCCGTCAGAATGAGAGTCCAAACAGCTGCTAAAAACATCACAATAATCCACAAGTAATCCACACCACTCCAGCTAAAATATGAGTCTTCTATCCATAATATTGCTTTCTCCAGTGAAAAAGAAATCTCATCTGAATCAGGAGAGAAATATGCACAGATCAAACACCGTTTACAAATCAAAACAGTTCTAAACTAATATTTAGGTGAATTTTTATGCGAGACGACAACAGGACATGGATTTTTTCCATTATTATAGATTATAGATTTTATTTCTCAATATCGATATACTGTGTATATATATCACGATATAGATATTTTTGCGATATAGATATCGAAATTTTGATACCATAGAAATTTCATTTGTCACTTGTCAATATAACAACAAAAAAAAACTAATACTAGCCTAAATGAAAAGAAAAACTCAAACTCACTGAACAAAAGTAAACAGTAAGTGATTAAATAAGAATAAGAAATTAATTACAAGAAATACAACAAAAACTACTGTAGAACAAATGAATGACAGACAGCAGGAATATTAGACTGCTGTCACTTTAAGAGCTGCCTGGATCCAATATACTGTTACACAATATACTGCTTCTCAGATGTTTGCTTTCACTTAAGACCTAAATTACTGTGTTTACGAGGATACTTGCAAAGACGGGCATTTTGACAGAGTGTATTTAACTGTTCAAGGGCTATAAAGCGGCAATAATAACTCAATAACCGTTAATAAAAATAAAAAAACGAACTCAATAAATGTTCAATACTTCCATGCTCTATGATGGCTCAGAAACTCTCAGACAGTGCACGCACATATAGCGGAATGAGTTCTCTTTAGCTGCTGATTGCTTTTCAACAGCCTAAAACCACTTGTTTCTAAACCACAATGCTTAAAAACATGTGCAAACGCAAAGTTTTTGTGACCACATAGCACAGCAACGTCACTTAAGCATCTAACTGCGATAGAGATGATAGTCTACAATCTCTACCGGTTGACAAATTTCTACTGGTTAATCGTGTCTACCGGTATATCGCCCACCCCTACTCTGAGTTATTATGGACTAAGTGTTATTATGGATTTTGGTCAGAAGTGACGGTTTGAAATTAAAACACTTCAATGATGGACTCGCTTCTTGAAAACACGCAGCTCTTCACAAGATGTTAACTGATGGACTGGAGTGGTGTGGATTACATGTGGATTATTGTGATGTTTTTATCAGCAGTTGGGACTCTCATTCTGACGGCACCCATTCACTGCAGAGGATCGATTGATGAGAAAGTGATGCTCAATTTCTCCAAATCTGTTCTGATGAAGAAACAAACTACATCTTGGATGGCCTGAGGGTGAGTAAATGCTCAGCAAATTTACATTTTTGGGTGAACTACTCTTTTAAGTCCTAAACACACACGTCTACATGTGGTTTTATAAACTGTGCAAATGAAAGTCCCATTTGCAGGGGTGTGTGCTTGTGTCTAGTCCCTCCGACAAGGACTCAAGGTATTTAACACGTCAATTAAGAACAGAGCGTTGAATTCGACCACACACCTGAAAAAACAGCATAAGTCATACACTTCTCCAAAAGCACGAACGTTGCTTTTCACCGACAATCACACTACGAACTGCCACTGAATAGCACATACGCGATCGGACTGGCTGTAACGTCACAGTTACGTCCAACTGCTCCATGGAGCTACGATATATTTGCTACATGAAATGCTCAGAAACTCGGCTTTTCCCAAATACACATTTAAACAGCCAAATTTCGTGGCAAATATTACAACAGTCTAATACTTAAGAACATATAACTTCACATCATGAAGGGTCAAGTTTTTAAGGCTTTGTTACTGTGCGAGTAACGTTCGTGTGCCAAGTTTCACCAAAAGCTCTACGCAAGGCTGGATCAAGCTATAACAAATTAACTTCACAGAGCTTTACTGTTTCAATGGAGTGCGAAAGATGAAATTACATAATTACATTATTTAGGTCTAGCAAATGAAGCGGTTTAATGATAGCAATTGATTTGTAGACTTAGACTAGTGCTCTTTAAGTACGGAAAGTTTCGTCATGTGTTCTGTTTTGAGTATGTTACAGTAGTATTAGATATGAAAATGCCCTGTTTATTGAATAATATACTTTAAAGTTCATGTAGATGATTCGATGGCACGTTTGAACAAGGAAAAAAGACATTAAAGTTTCAACAAGGTCCTCTGAAAACAACTGAAATGTAATTTCAGCACCTCTTCAAATGATTAATTTGACATTTTAGCAAATTAAAACAATTTGTACCCTTTCAGAGTGATCTATACTTGATTTTATATCATATATTTGGCTTTTCCACTGTGAAATTGTATTGAAATTTAAAAAATGAGAACTTTTGAAATTATATGTGCTTGTGAAAAATTTAGTCTATTTTCTTCATTTTTCATGTAAAAATTTTACAGGTTTTCACAGATGCAACAAACGTTTTTACTAAAGAACTACTCAATTAAATAGGAACTTAAACAAACTAGACAAAAATGGCAATCTTAAGTTTACCTGATAAACCTCTTCCCTCCTAACCTGGACATTTATATTTGTAATAACCTGCACAAATCATACCTAAAAATGTCTCTCACCCATTATATGGATACCCATAATATTACTCAACGCGATGAATCTTGGTTTTCAGTATCAGATTATATACATTCTGAAATGTATCTTAGCTCATTTCCATCTCAAACGATACGATTATACTCATTTTATATATTTAATTCTTAGTTTTCCCTTTCAGATCCATATTTACAGGGGGAGTTTGTGGCTGCGTTTGCAATGTATGCTTCAGACACGGGTCACGACGAGGCGTTCCCCATAGCGACCCCTAGAGGACGCAGTGTCTCGTTCCCTACTCAGGGAACCATGGTTACATAAGTAACCTGAGACGTTTTCCCTTTCAGATCCATATTTACAGGGGGAGTTTGTGGCTGCGTTTGCTCTGAGGCAGGTAAAGTGTGTGTGTTGTGTGTTAAGTTGTGTTTTCCTCTCAGGAGAATCTCCACATGCACAGATGCAACAAACGTTTTTACTAAAGAACTACTCAATTAAATAGGAACTTAAACAAACTAGACAAAAATGGCAATCTTAAGTTTACCTGATAAACCTCTTCCCTCCTAACCTGGACATTTATATTTGTAATAACCTGCACAAATCATACCTAAAAATGTCTCTCACCCATTATATGGATACCCATAATATTACTCAACGCGATGAATCTTGGTTTTCAGTATCAGATTATATACATTCTGAAATGTATCTTAGCTCATTTCCATCTCAAACGATACGATTATACTCATTTTATATATTTAATTCTTAGTTTTCCCTTTCAGATCCATATTTACAGGGGGAGTTTGTGGCTGCGTTTGCTCTGAGGCAGGTAAAGTGTGTGTGTTGTGTGTTAAGTTGTGTTTTCCTCTCAGGAGAATCTCCACATGAGTGTTTCTGTGTGTGTTGAGTCTTCCAGAATCAGAATCGCTACTCGAAGCGCTCGTAATGTCTCGTCTGCCTGAGGCGGGGCACCATGTCCTTTAACAACCTGACGGAGAAAGAAAGAAAAGCGTAAGAAAAAACTAAAAACTAGCTACTTTAGAGGTCAGGTATTTAGTGCATATGTCGCTATATTAACAAAATATTATAGTTAAATATATAAGTTAAAGTTAACGGGTTCACCCCAAAATGAAAATTTTGTAAAGGATTAGTATTTAAGTGAGCTTTAGTCACTAAAACTTCACTTCTTTAATTCCCGTTTCCTCTTCTTTTTTTTTATCCCAACAGTCCAGTACAGAGAAGCCCAAGCCTCCTGTCTCTGCTATGTTTATTTTCTCTGAGGAGAAGCGCCCAAAACTTCAACAGGAAAAGCCTGATCTTTCTGACATGGAGCTCACAAGACTACTGGCCCGCATGTGGAATGAGCTTTCTGACAAGAAGAAGGTAATCATGACACTTCAGTGACCCAGAGATGTTCAGATCCTTCTGTTACTGTGTTAGCCAATTCAATTGTATTCAACTTCTGTAATCTTTCTTGTAGGAAAAGTATAAAAACCTGGAGATGACGCTGAAGGCAGAGTCTGAAAAACAGAGCAAAGAGGACAAAGGGAAACTACCAGAAACGCCCAAAACAGCTCAGGATATCTGGCAACAAAGCGTCATTGGAGACTATCTTGCCCGATTCAAGGTATGGAATCATAATGGCAAAAAAATTCAGTGGAAAGCGCTTGGGTCGGGGTTGGGTTTTTGACTAGAAGTTTCTTTTTCTCACCAGAGTAGCATTTATTTGGTCACAAATACAGTTAAAACCGTAATATGAACAGCATCTATTTGAAATAGAAATCGTTTGTAACATTATAAATGTCTTTATTGTCAATTTTCTGTCACTGCTCTCAAAAACTGAATGGACAACATGGAGCAGTTATTAAAGGGTTACTCCACCCCAAAATTTAAATTTTGTCATTAATCACTTACCCTCATGTTGTTCCAAACCCGTAAAAGCTTCGTTCGTCTTCGGGAACCCAATTTAAGATATTTTGGATGAAAACCGGGAGGTTGTGACTGTCCCATTGACTGCCAAGTAAATAACACTGTCAAGACCCAGAAAAGTATGAAAGACATCGTTAGAATAGTCCATCTGCCATCAGTGGTTCCACCGTAACGTTATGAAGCGATGAGAATACTGTTTGTACGTGAAGAAAACAAAAATAACGACTTTATTCAACAATTCATCTCCTCTGTGTCTCTCCGCATCACTGTAGTGCCATTTTGGAGAATATCTGCTGAACGCAAGCAGCGTACACTATTCTGTGTCAGCCGTGACACAAGGATACGTTTTCTACGTGTATTTACGCTTTGATTTGAACAAAAACAGAGCATCCGTGTGTCACGGCTGACACAGAATAGCGTGCGCTGCTTGCGTTCAGCAGATATTCTCCAAAATGGCACTACAGTGATGCGGAGAGACACAGAGGAGATGAATTGTTGAATAAAGTCGTTATTTTTGTTTTCTTCACGTACAAACAGTATTCTCGTCGCTTCATAACGTTACGGTTGAACCACTGATGGCAGATGGACTATTCTAACGATGTCTTTCATAATTTTCTGGGTCTTGACAGTGTTATTTACTTGGCAGTCAATGGGACAGTCACAACCTCCCGGTTTTCATCCAAAATATCTTAAATTGTGTTCCCGAAGACGAACAAAGCTTTTTCGGGTTTGAAACGGCATGAGGGTAAGTGATTAATGACAAAATTTTCATTTTGGGGTGGAGTAACCCTTTAAGGTAGAAAATGAGATGGCATGTTTTAACAATAAAAAAGGTCGTTTTAACAAAGTTGCTTTATCTTAAAAACTTTTTTACTTGGGGAAAAAAAAATTTATTGTCTACAAAAACACAATTTTAATACCTCTTCAATTTACAGGATTATTAAAGTCAAGTAAAACAAAAAACATATAAACATGAAATAAAATCAAATGTAAAAAAAATGTATAAAAATATTTTATTTCAGCTAGTTGCCAAAGAACTATTTCTTGTATTCATTCATTAAAAAAAAAAAAAAAAAAAACTGATATAAAAATTTATAAAAACTGTAGAGACATATATTTTTTAAAACGGCATGATTACTAAAACTTCAACTAAAAATAAAATTAAAATGGAAATACAAAAATAAAATTGAATAAAAATAATTAAAAAAACTATAATATTATCTCAATCAAAACTAAAATAACATCCATTAGAACATTTAGTAAAATTATTTTGACATAACTTCAATTTGTGCATGTTCAAAGTGATTTATATTTTATTTTCTATCATATATTTGACTTTTCTATTGTGAAATTTAATTGAATTCTCCGTTTGAATTTAAAAAGTAGTAATTATGCATATGTTCTAACACAGGTTCGAATCTGGTTTGCAGCATCTGGATCCTGTTAATTCCGAAGCAAATTAAAAAAATAATAATATTTCCACTCTAAATAAATAAATAGGCTTAAATTTAAGATTTATTTATTTGAATTGCATCTAAACTGTCCATTCATTTGGATTATACAGTTTAATAAAAAACGTAACGTAAATAGTTTAAAAAAAAAAAATTTTATAGTTAAAAAACTATAAAAAACTTAATATGATGCATATTTGCCAATCAAACAGGTAAGATTTCTGCACTCAGAAATAAAAAATCATGGCATAATTTATACATGTTTGCACGTATTTGATTTTATTTAAATAATTATATTTTTTACAATGCATTCTTTCAAATTGCTTAGACCATTTAATTATGAAAACATTTATTCAGTTAAAAATGGCTAAAATATGGCAAGATGTAGAAGCAATATATAAATGTATGAGATTGAAACTAATTGGATTTATTGATGATAAATATAAACCTGGTTATTCTGTATTTAAAACACATTCAGTTAACAGAAATCTGACCTGGTTAATTTAAGTATGACAGTTTATTAGTTTGTTTATATTAAAACAGAGTAATCCAAATGGATGTAAATTTGATATGCAATTCAAACACACAAATCTTACATTTAGGCCTAATTATTTTAGTTACAGTAACTATAAAAAAAAGTAAAAAGTGTATTTCTTGGCTTAGTATGAAACAATGACGAGGCTGAACTCAGCATGTGCAGCTCCGAACTTCCTAACCTCTGAAGGACGAGACCTGTCACTTCAAACTAAACGACCTCTGCTTGTGTGCTTTTGGGAAAGAGAGACAGCCGGTGGAGTATACAGCTTATAGATTTACATTTCAGCTTCAGTTCTGTCAACAAGTCTTTCAGCGTTCGATTAGCAGTGGGAAATCTGCCAGATGACGATGAGCTTTGCATACAATCTTTGTCGTATGTGCATGCTACGTCTTCATTTCCATTACAATGAGTCAAATGTTAATTACAGTCTCTAGGCTAGTGATGTTATAGTAATTACTTGCAATTATATTAGCGAGCATCATGTGCTATTTAACCAACAAAACTACATAATTAGCATCCCTTTCAGAAGCCCTAGCTAAAGCCTCCAGCGTATTTACATCTGCACCAAAGACAAACAGAGTCACGCCTGGAATCCCTCAAGAATGTACGACGTTATTAAACGACTGTTTGTTAAACAGCTTCGTGCTATGCTAAGACCTTTAATAAACACGCTACTTTGCAAAAAAACTTATTTAAGTCAGTGTTATTTTAGTACCATTACCGTTTTTGCTAATATTTTGAATGAGATTTTATTTGGTTTGTTGTGGTTGTTGTTGTCGTCTAGTTTTTAGGTTTTGGACTCTTACTTGACTCCGTAGGCGAGAATGATCAGTCCAATCAGAACCCCGATAGTCCCGTCCAGGTACCAGACTTTAGGTTCGTGTTTGAACACCTCGGCGCTGATGAGGATGGAGAATCCCATGACGGCGCCGACTAGAGAGTTAAAACCTGCAAATGAGTAATTATGTAAATGTAAAAAAACATCGGAAAGAGCAGCGTGAACATTCTGCTAAACGTCTACTTTTGTGTTACACAGAAAAAAAGAAAGTCATACGGGTTTGGAACGACGTGGGGATGATTAAATTATGATAACAGTGAGTTTTTTTTTTTAGTTAATCTTTTCGATTTTTTCTTAGAGCTGAATTTGCCAATTAAACACGAGGCATCAAAAACATTCTCTTTTTACTTGTAAAAAAGACGTTTTTAGCTAAACTTACTAATTAAACATAAGACATTAAAAACATTTGAACATTTTAGCTAAAACTTATTAATTTAACATAAGATATAAAAATGCAATTTTTTTAGTTTTCTTCATTTTTAGCTAATCACAAAATTCATTTTTATTTACAATTTTTTAAAACAAAATTACTAATTAAACAAGGCATTAAATATGGTTTTACCCTAACTTATTTTAGCTGAATATACAAGACATCAAAAATGCTCTTTATTAGCTCAATATTTTAACCTTTTTAGCTAAACTTACTAGACATGGGACATCAAAAATATATATTCTAGTTAAACTAAACTTACTAATTAGAGAAGGCCTCAAAAATTTTATTTTTTTAGCTTAACTTTTTAAAATTTTTATAGCTAAACTTATTAAACATAAGACATTAAAAAAATGTTTTTTTTTAGATTAACAGTTTTTGGCTAAACTTACTAATTAAACATAAGACATCAAAAATGTACTATATTAGCTCAACATTTTAACCTTTTTAGTTAAACTCACTAAACATGAGACATCAAAAATATATATTTTAGTTACTAAACTAAACTTACTAATTAAAGGCATCAAAAAATTTATTTTTAGCTAAAGGTAATACAATTTTTAACTAAACTTACTAGCTACACTTATACATTTAGCTACACATGATAGACCAAAAAAAATGTGTTTTAATTAGAATTTGTAGGTAAACATACTAAATAACATGAGATAAACACAAACACACACACACACATTGTGTGTGTGTGTGTGTGTATTAGCTAAACCTTTTACCTTTAACTAAACATACTAATTAAAAATGAAACATCAAAAATGTTCTTTTTAGGATAATCTAAGTTTTTTTAAAGACAAAAATGTTTTTTATCTTTACAGATGATAAATCATTGTGTTTGAGATGATCAGTAATTGCATGTTAACTAGCTGCAGCAGCAGTAGATGTTTGGACAGTTGGTGAGTTTCACACATGGTTTATCTCGCGTGCGATTGGCTCATTGACGATGGGTGTGTGTTTGTGCTACTGGAACACTTGGTGTACACAGCGATTACTGTTAGGCCATGTGTGACAAATATTCATGAATTCCATTTAAACATGTCAAAATACTTTGCACTGTTTGCTACAATTAAGGTTTAAGTGTGCACACTTAAGTGTATGAATAAAGATTATTGCAGTATGTTTTACAAGAAAATAGTTCAGTTTTCTACCTCAAAATTACATTTCAACATTAATTCTACTTGCCATTTCTTTGTAGTTATTTGAAACGATTCCCACACAGAAATTGCCATTTAAAAGTTTTAGATGAGTAATAGCTAAACTTTTTAGCTAAATGTACAATTAAACATACGACTTGGAAAACAATAGGTCTGTACTTATCATGCTTATGCACTATTCTATGACGTTCTGTAGTATAAACAGTGCGTTCACACTGAAAATTCCAAAAGGAAAAAGTGCACTTTAAATACCCGGATGATGCACTTAAATAACTGAAAAAACGAAGTGTGGAATGTTGGACACTTGCACTCAACTGTCGGGAGGGACTATCAGACTCAGGTTATAAATGAAAAAAAAATAACCTTATAAAATTCATACACTACATGGTTGAGTACGTAGTGCATAAGTACATAGTGTATAAGTGCATAGTGTATAGTGCGTCATTTGGTATGCAGTTAATGCCTTTTTAGTGAAACCTTTTAACTTTTTAGCTAAACTTGCTGATTCATTAACTCAACTATTTACATTTTTAGCTAAACACAAGGTATAATATATATATATACAGTGGTGTGAAAAGGTTTTTGCCCCCTTCCTGTTTTTTTTATTTTTTGCATATTTGTCACACTTAAAAGATTCAGATCATCAAACAAATTTAAATATTACACAAAGATAATGCAAGTAAATGAAAAATGCAGTTTTTAAATGATGATTTCTTTTATTAAGGGAAAAAAGCTGTCCAAACCTGCCTGGCCCTACGTGAAAAGGTAATTGCCCCCTAAATCTAATAACTGGTTGTGCCACGCTTTGCAGCAACAACTGCAATCAAGTGTTTGCGATAACTGGCAATGAGTCTTTCACATCGCTGTGGAGGAATTTTGGCCCACTCTTCTTTGCAGAATTGTTTTAATTCAGCCACATTGGAGGGTTTTCGAGCATGAATGGACTGTTTAAGCATCTCAATCGGATTTAAGTCCGGACTTTGATTTGGCCACTCCAAAACCTTAATTTAGTTTTTCTTGAGCCATTCAGAGGTGGACTTGCTGGTGTGTTTGGGATCATTGTCCTGCTGCATAACCCAAGTGCGCTTGAGCTTGAGGTCACAAACTGATGGCCGGACATTCTCCTTCAGGATTTTCTGATAGAGTGCAGAATTCATGGTTCCATCAATTATGG